TGTAGTCACATCTTGTTTAACTTTTAATGGAGGTAAGTTCATTTGCAATTGAAAATCTTTGAGTTTTTCAGTGGCGTTGCTGCTGTGCTTGAAATGCCCTACTATTCTATGCCCTACTAATGTTCTACATTTTTTTTAAAATTTGATTTATAACAGAGTTTCCATTTATTGCCTCATTTATACTTAAGTTTAGTGTGTGTGCCACACATGGGTGATGGTGTTTAAGAAGGTGTTCGTTTATTGCATTTTTAATATTTGCCCATTGTCTGATACCACAGTTATTATTTTATTTGCTATATTCCATTCATTAAAAATATTTGTAAGTGTAACGGCTATATTTTGACCAGTGTGTCTGTCAAAAACGTCTTTAGTTGCAATAACTGGTGAATATAATTGGTCGTCAAAAATAAAATGGCACGTCACTGTTATATATGATTTATTGGAATCAGATGTCCACATATCTGTCGTTATTGATAAATCATTTACATTTTGAAGAATAGATTTTATTTTAAGAAGTATAACATTATATTCTTGTAGTAATAATTTCGAAGTTAATACTTTTCTACTAGGGATCGAATAAAGTGGTTGCAATTTTTTGCTATACTCAATAAATCCAACGTTTTCTACTAACGAGAGTGGTTGATAATCCGCGACAATCATTTTAATTAAAGATTTATTAATAGCCTTAATTTCAGAATCACTAAGTTCATTTACTTTTGTCGAACCAAAAAGTTTTAGTTGACGAGGCCGTTTTGATGGTGGCTCAGAAAATTGTGACGAAATTAAATGTTCAGATGATAAATTAGAAGAAATTGCTGAAGTTGAGGGATTAAATGTATTTTCGGTAGTCTGTATTAATTGGTTATCTGGATCATCTTCATTATGATTGATCGGATTGAGTTTAGTTGGGTGTATTCGTTTTAAATGTTCTATTATAAATTTAAAAAGATACAAAAATTTTGAAATTAGTATTTATTATAGCTTAATATTATAAAATACATATAATAAATAATAGTCTTATTTTCAAGAAAACGCACGGAACGTGGAAAGGCATTTCTATAAAATATGTGAAATGCAGTTATTTAAAATTTAAATTAATAAACTAAGCTGTTTCAAATAATTTCAAAGAAAAAGGTTAAACAAATAGATAATTCCGTGTACCTAATTTAAAAGTTCTCGAAACCCTTATTAAAAAATTATAATTTTTAAGTACCTACCTTTTAAGTTTGTCGTGTTTCCGTAATATTTATAATCCTTTTTACATATTTGACACTTAACAGTTCTATTATTAGTATGTTTTTCAAAATGATCCCATACAACGGAACGTTGTTTACAGCTCGGTCTCATATTTAAATAAATTAAGAAAATACTTCTGAAATTTAATACTTTTGAAATTATCGAAAAATAACAAAATATACGATTGTCAACTGTTAACTGCTAAAATGCTGTTTATGGCTTTGGCTTGCAAGATTGTTAAACAATTATATTTGGAAAAATCCAATCAAAAATCGTCAACATGTCCCTTCTAATAATAAACAGTAAAATGGTGATTTGCGGTAGCAGAATTTATTTATAACGTGCCTATGAATAAAAGTATTTTTGACAAAAATAATAAACGTATATTGTTTCATTTATAAACATACATCGCATTGTCACATGTCTGTATTTATTTATACAACCTAGTTAGAATGTAGAAATGACTAAAAACAAAACTATCACAAATTAAAAAATAAAAACATCAGATAAGGTAGTGATAGCCGGCTAACCATCATAATTAAAATTTTAAAATTTTACATTTCACACCTTATTGATCTTTTATAAGTTCACAACCAGCGAGAGAATCAGAACTCAGTAGTTTAGCCTGTTCAGGACTAAAGTAGATAGGTAAGTAACTAATAAATACATATACTCATAAATATGTACTACATTGAAAATTGTAATGTCATATGTGAACCATTTTTCAGATTTAAAATGTACTAAATCAATTACCAGATAATAATTCAAAAAATTTCAAAATTCGATTACTGAACTCATAAGTTATGAGTAAAGTAATCGAATGATTTCAATAATTGAAATATTAGTTATCTTCTTCTTTTTTTTCCATGACTTCGGCCTTCAAGACCATGTCGTCCAACAGATTTGTCTCCAAGTTTCTCTATCTAAAGCTAACTCCTTCCAATCCAATCCTGGTCTCACTTTCTCTATGTCTTCTTTGATCCTATCTTCCCAGCGTAACCTCGGCCTTCCAAGTGGTCGTTTTCCTTTTGGTGCATTCTCTTGTACTATTTTTATCAATGACCCTGTTTTTCTCCAAGAATGTCCTGCCCACTTCAGTCTTCTTTAATGCTTGGTCTTTGATGCAAATCCTGAAGTTTCTTGTTTTTACGTATTCTCCATTCACCTGTATGTTCGTCTTTACATGGTCCATAGATTTTTCTCAGTACCTTTCTTTCAAACACTAAAAGAGCATTTTCGTCGTTTTTCCTCATGGTCCAAGTTTCTGACCCATATGTCACCACTGGCTTGATAAGTGTCTGGTATATTTGGGACTTCAGATTTTTCGAGATTACTCTAGATTTTAATAACTTTGTCAGGCCAAAATAACATTTATTGGCAGCTTGTAATCTTGCTTTTATTTCCGTACCTATTTCATTCTGCTGTGTAATTAGTGTGCCAAGGTATTTGAACTGCTGCACTCTTTTGAATTTGTAGTTTTCGACTTCCAGGACCTCGTTACGACAGCCTTTTTGTTCATGTCTTTGCACGACCATATACTCAGTTTTCTCTGCGTTAATCTCTAGGCCTACACGTTTAGCAGCATTTATGAGTTGTTTTGATTGTTCTTTGAGTTTATCTTTGCTTTCTGCCATCAAGACTATATCGTCTACATATGCCAATATTCCAATGTTGTTTTCTCCTAGTTTTACTCCTTCCTTATCTAAGGCTGCTTCTCTAACTACTTTTTCTAATACTATGTTGAATAAAACCGGTGATATGGCGTCACCCTGCCTTAGTCCAGTTGTCACTTGAACCGTTTTCGATAACGTTTGTCCTACTTTTACCTTTATGTCAGTGTGACTAATACTGCACTCGACGAGGCTTATTAACTTACTAGGCATTCCAAACTCTTCTAAAATCTTGATTATGGACGCTCTATGTATTGAATCATATGCTTTTTTGTAATCAATGAAAACCATATGTACGCTTTTGTCATACTCCCAAGTTTTTTGTAACACCTGACGTAGAATGAAGATTTGATCTATCGTGGAGCGGTTTTGCCTGAAGCCGGCCTGGTAGTCCCCTATAATCTCTTCTGCCCAAGGTTTGATTCTGTCAAGTATACAGTAAGATAAAATCTTATACGTTACATTAAGCAGGGCAATCCCTCTATAATTGTTGCATGTTTGTTTGTCTCCTTTCTTATGAATGTGATAGACTAAGGCTGTTTTCCATTCCTTTGGTATCTCTTCTTTTTGCCATATTAAACTAATTAAACGATGAATATATTTAACAAGATTCTCCGCACCTTTTTTAAGTAGCTCTCCGGTAATCCCGTCTTCACCGGGCGCCTTGTGGTTTTTTTAGGGTTTTTATTTGTTTCGCAATTTCCTCTATCGTAGGTTCAGGATAATCTTCCCTATTCGGTTTTTTATTCTCAAAGAGGAATGGATTAGAAGGTTCTCTACAGTTTAGCAGCTGGTTGAAGTATTGAGCCCATTCCTCAACTATGTCGTCTCTATCGGTTAACAAAGTATCATTTTCGTTTCTTAAAAACATTTCTTTTGGTTTAAAATCCTTGCTTACAGAGCTGATCTTTTTTGTATAGGTCCCGTGTCCTATGGTTTTTATAGTCCTGGTCCGCACTTTTCACTATGTCGTTGATAAATTTTCGTTTCTCGCATCTTATAATTTTGGTTGCTTCTTTTAGTCTTGTTTTATATCTAGAGAATTTTTCTTCATTTTTTAATATCCTTTAACCAAATTAGTAATCAATATTAGTAATATTATAATCGCGAGATGTCTCGAAATAATCATTTGAAATGTTCAATTGAAATATTAATAATTGAGATAAACGTTCTGAGAAATTTTTGTTGTTTTGTGGTTGAGTAATTCAAAAATTATAGCTATAAATTAATGTCAAACTTTAAAATATAAATAACTAAGAATAACTTTATACCTATCAATATTTGTCTAACGACCAGTCCCACGAGTATATAGTACGAGTCGAAAATACAGACTCAAAATCAACAACTAGTATTTACTTATTCGATTATGAAGATTAAAAATAGTATTCCTCCCTCCCTCTTTCGTTCCATGAAAATCATATGAAATGTTTTTTCATTCGATATACATTTCGAGTTAAGTATTGATTATTTTTAAAATAAACGAGATATCACTCGAAATAATCTCTCGAGTTTATAATTGAATTATTATTTTGATAATCGAGATATTACTCGAAATAATATCTCGGTTATATAATCGAATTATTATTTTCATAATCGAGATATCTCGATTACGCCCATCACTAATTATTATACATATCTGTGGGTTATTGTTTAAGACTATCACCTGCCTTTCATGAGAAAACTTTCAGCGATTTTATTCAATAATCATCTAAACCAGTGTTTCTCAACCTTTTTACTGTGGCGACCCCTTTTTTTAAATTTAAATTTTTTAGCGACCCCTACATATATATTTTTACATACTCGCTTAGATTATCATTATAAATAATCTAGAGTCTATAGTTACTACAAGTACTGTACACGAGAAATATAAAAGATACATATTATAATATTATATTATTTAAAATTAAAAAAAACGTACATTAAATATTTCATTTTATTATATAAATATATTTTTATATTAATATTTTTAATGGCTTGGTTGTTGCTGTTGATGTGATATTATTTCGTCAATTCTTGGTTTAATTGATTTCGTCAAGCTAATCCTCATAGCCGATGAAATTTCCAGACGGTTTCTAGTTTTATTTTTTATTGTTGTTAATGTGGAAAAACCATTTTCACACAAATATGTAGTAGAAAAGGAATAAGTAATTTTAATGCTTCTTCAGCCAAACTAGGATATTCATTTTGAACCTTTATCCAAAATTGACCTATATTTTTATTGCTTCTGAAAATCTCGTGTAAGCCCACATCTGCACTCAATTCAATCAACTTTTCTTCATTTGTTAATGATAGTATATTTTGATCAGATTGTACGAATAGATTTATTACCCAATTACAATTTTTACGAATGTCTTTTGTGGGGTCGAAATATTTGGACATTTTTTCTCTTAATCTACCTAAGTGTTCTTCTATGATAATACACATTTCATTTATTTCATTTTTTGTTAATATATTTTCCTGAGTCATGTTAAAAAAATTTGGAAACATCAAATGTGTAGTTTTTTACTCGATTTGTCCATAGTCTTATTTTTTTTAGGAATGCGTCAATTTTGTTGTACAATATAAAAAGATTAGTATGTAGACCTTGGATACTTAAATTTAATTCATTAAGAATTGAAAATATATCGGAAAGATATGCAAGTTTGGCTAACCACACATTATTTTCGAAATAATCACTAAGTGGTGATTTTTTGTCTCTTAAAAATATTTCTACTTCCGTTTTCAGTTCAAATAACCTAGTCAAAACTTTTCCTCGCGACAACCATCGAACATGAGTGTGTAATAGCAAATTTTTAAAACCTGAACCCATTTCTTCACACATCACTTTAAAAACGCGAGTGTCTACGGCACTAGCTCGAATAAAATTTACTATTTTTATGCATATATTTAGAACGTCAAATAGGTTTTCGTTCATATCTTTAGCGGCTAATTGCTCACGATGGATGAAACAGTGTGTTGATATAATGTTTTTATGAGCAATTTGTTGAACGCGTGTGACAAGGCCATTAAATTTTCCGGTCATAGCTGCAGCTCGATCAGTACAAATACCGATACAGTTAGAAAATTGTAAATTAATTTTTTGGAAGTGAGATGAAATGGTTTTGAAAATTTCTTCAGAAGTACAGTATGTTTTTAAATTTAAGCAACAGAAAAACTCTTCTTGTATATCGTTCAGATCAGTATCTACATACCTCACATACATCAATAATATAGCTTCATTATTTATATCAGTAGATTCGTCGAGCTGTATTGCGTAAAAAATTGATTTTTTGATTTTTTCACTAAGCTGATTTTCAATATCATTAGACATAGTATTTATTCTTCTACTTATCGTATCATTAGACATAGGTATTTTTTTAATCTTTGTCACGTGCTCATTACTAAATAATTCTGTACAAATATCAATCATACACGGTTTTAACAATTTTTCCCCAATCGAGTATGGTTTTTTTGATTTAGCTATGTGTAAGGCTCAGAGGCGGATTTTCCATTAGGCATTGTAGGCAGCTGCCTAGGGCGGCAAAATTTGGGGGGCGGCAAATTTTGTAGTGTTTTATTAAAAAACATCAAACGATCAAACATATAGTACATCGTATATGATATTCAGTATACCAATCTATTTTGGTTCATTATAATTTATAGTCATTACCTATAAATATTATAGTAAACAATTATATAGAAAACAGTTTTTGATAATACTATATATTTTAACACATTGGTATAGTCCGCCCAGAGGTCATAATAATATATAAAGCAACAATGGTTTTATTATTCTTATCGGGGATCGACGTCGCGCGTCGTCGTAATTTCGATAAAAATAAATACTCACACTGCCACACTATATTACTAATTCGACATACGATTATAATATTATTATATTATTTCGCAATCTGTGTTTGAAACATCGAGTCGCGTGTCGTGTGTCCGTACTGCGTGTATTTTACAAATCTACAAGAAAGTAGAAAGTACCTAAGCAACTGGTAAGTACTAAAAAATATTTTAAATTGTACCAAGGATAGTAACTAGTAAGGTTGTTAAATTAAATGGTTTTCTTATATAATTATCATTTTGTGTAGGTATTTAAATTTAAGTTATAATGAGTGATGGAAGAAAAAGGTTGAGTGGTTCTGAATATGGAAAACGTTTTAAAGAAAAAAATAGAAAAGAACAGGAAGTTATTAAAAGATCAAAGAAAATAAATTCTTTTTTTATATCTAAAAGTATTGATAATACTATTAATACTACAAATACAAGTAATCAAATAATTGTCGACTCAGATTCTAGTTTTGTTGAAAATATTAAAATAATTGATAATGGCTTAAATAATAAACCTCCAAAAACAGAAAATATTAAATCTATTGATGATAGCTTAAATAATAAACCTTCAGAAATAGAAAATATTAAAATAATCGATGATTCTGAAAATATACTTCTAAGCAACAATAATAATACTAGTACTTTATCCAAAACTACTTTTTGTGTTCCAAAAGACCCAATAGATTGGATAATTAATAACACTACTTGTGATTATATTGTAATGCACGGCTTTAACCAAAATAAAAATTTGAACTTTTTAAACAGTAAAAGACAATACAATGATGTTAATAGATATTTAACAATTTCATTATTCGAAAGAAAATTGCTAAATGGTGAAAAATGTTTACGAACATGGTTAGTTTATTCAGAAAAAAAAGGATGTGTGTTTTGTGGACCTTGTCTTTTATTTGATAGAGATAATTATTCACAATTTTCAAAAGATGGTTTTAATGATTGGAAAAATGCAGAAAGTAGAGTAAGCCAACATGAAAATTCCACCAAACATAAATCGAATTTGATTACTTTAAAAGAAAGAGCAAATACATTAGGAACAATAAACGTTAGTTTAACAAAACAGTTAGATGAACATATTAATTATTGGGAAAATGTATTGAGACGGGGAGTTGCTACAGTTAAAGCTTTATCATCCAGAGGTCTTCCCCTTAGAGGTCACAACGAAAAATTTGGGTCAACTCAGAATGGTAATTATTTAATGGCTATGGAACTTATCTCTGAGTTTGATCCATTTATTGCTGAACACATTGGAAAATTTGGCCAGTGCGGTAGTGGTCACACGAATTATTTATCGTCTACCATATACGAAGAAATTATTCAGTTAATGGCTGATAAAATCAGGCAAAAAATTATTGACGAAATAAAAACAGTTAAGTATTATTCGATAATAGTAGATAGTAGTCCCGATATTTCACACGTAGACCAACTATCCTTCGTTATTCGTTATGTTCAAGAAAACGGCGTGCCAATAGAACGATTTCTTCAATTTCTTCCAAACACTGGTCATAAAGCTATTGAGTTATTTGATTCAGTTACAAAGCTTCTTAATTCTTACGAAATAGAAATAGAAAATTGCCGAGGTCAGTCCTATGACAATGCCCGAAACATGTCAGGAATATATTCAGGACTACAGGCAAGGATTAAAGAGTTAAATCCTTTAATTGAATATGTACCTTGTTCCGCCCACTCACTGAATTTAGTAGGATCTTGTGCAGCTGATAGTTGTGATGATACATTGACATATTTTTCCCTTCTTCAAACAGTATACAATTTTTTTTCATCATCCACGAATCGATGGGAAATATTGAAAACCCAATTAAAAAATAATCCTGAGTCAAAAACAGTGAAAACATTATCAAACACAAGATGGTCTTCTCGTGATGATGCATGTAAAAGTCTGAATAATTCTTGGAATGAAATACGTAATGCACTGATATCAATAACAAACAATTTAACAGAAAAGGCAACTACGATAAATGAAGCTCGTAGTATACTTAACAAACTAGATAGCTTGAAAACGGCGTTTATGAAAGTGTTATGGAGTTGCCTTCTTGATCGTTTAAACAAGGCTAGTAAACAACTCCAGAGTGTTAATATTGATGTATCAGTCATAGTAGATATTTATGATTCATTAATTGAATATACAAAATCATTAAGAAATCCAATTATATTCAATGAGTATGAAAACAAAGCAAAACTTTTATAAGTTGTAAAAGAATATAAAAAATCAAGAAATAGAGTACGAAAATCTTTCCATGATGAAACTCGTAATCAAGAGCAAGAGTTAGAGGGGAGTGACAAATTTCGAGTAAAAACATATACAGTCATTTTAGATTGTTTAACAAATGAATTAGAAGATAGACGAGCAGCGTATTTCCTTTTTAATTCGCGTTTTTCTTTTCTTGGCAAATTAACAGAGTATAGTGTGGATGAAATTATGGAATTTGCAAAAAATTTACAAAATGTTTATAAGGAAGATCTTGAAGAGGATTTTCCAAATGAATGTATTCATCTTCAAGCCCACCTTAAAAACAAAGATAAGATGTCAATCCTTCAATTGTGTAAATGGCTTAAAGAATATGGGTTTTACGAAATTTATCCAAACATAGATATAGCAATTCGTATTTTTGTGTGTACACCTGCAGCAAACTGTTCAACAGAGCGTTCATTTTCATGCTTAAAACGAATAAAAACGTACTTGCGTTCACAAATAAAACTAGAAAGATTAAACAGCATGGAAATTCTAACAATTGAGTCAAGTCTTCTTGTTTCATTACCATATGAAGATATTATAAAATCGTTTGCAAATAAAACGGCAAGACGTCAACTTTTAAAGTTAAAATAGTTAAGTTAAGTTTAGATATATTATAGATTAGTGTTAGAACTGTTAGAAGTTTTGTAAATCTATTTTGCATTTGTATGCATTTTAAATTTAAATTTGTATTATAAAAATAAAGTTTTTTATTATAAAAAATATTGTAAATTGTAGCGTTTTACTTAATGCTCCTAACAATGGTTAAAGTTTTATTTTATTATTGATGAATCAGTCCCGGTTCGCGCTGCGCCCGACGCACACGTATTTATTTAACTCCGTTAAATCTCGTTTTCGTTCTTGTTCATCGCAACCGTTTATGTCCAAAGTGATATGTAAAAATTGCTAACTTTAATTTCAATCCAAATTATTAGTTTAATTTTAACTTGTAAGTACGCCGTTTCGTGTGCTTTACAAAATGTAATTTTATTTTAACATATACTAAAAGTGCGATTATCTAACAGTCGCGCCGTCTTAGATAACGCGTTCGCGTTATCGCGGCATCGAGTGCGTCGCACAGCGGTTCGTGACCTTGCTCACGTAAGATATGCCGACCATTCCAAAATCAAATCGTGCACAAAATAAAACAATTAATTGTAATACCAATAAAGTAAACAGCACTATACAGCCTGCTCGCTTATCAACTTCTGCAATTTCTAGTAATTCCATTAACTCTAGCCGCAGTACTCAAAGTAGTAATATGAACCGCCAAGCAAACGATGGCTGGCAAACGCAGACATCCAAATCCAAAAGAAATTTGTCAAGTTCCTCATCGGACACTTCTTCCACCAAAACTTCGCCTACACTCGTAGGTCCACAAAACAAAAAACTTTTTACTACACGCAACCGTTACGAACTTCTAACTCAAAATGAACCGACAGTCATGGATACCGGTTCAACCGCTGTTACCGGTTCACCAGATGTTGCAGAAGAACCAAATAAAGATATACACATCAAACCACCTCCCCCGATATTCATGAAAGGTATCTTAGACTATCCGACCTTCTGCTCTGTACTAATCGAACTAATTGGTGTCGATAACTTCTTTTGCAAGTCTGCTGGTGACCGCCTAAAAATTCAAACCGCAAACCCGGATTCCTACAGAATACTTATTCGCTATCTTAAAGAAAGCAATGCTGAATACCATACATATCAGCTACGAGAAGATAAACCTTTACGTGTAGTTATTCGTAACATTCATCAGTCTACACCTACACAACTAATAAAATCTGAACTCGAGATTCGTTGTTTTGAGGTCAGACAGGTCTCGAAGGTGCTACATAAAACCACCAAATGTCCACTCCCTCTATTCTTTGTTGACTTAGAACCGACTGACCATTCAAACGATATCTATAAGCTCACCTCTCTCCTTCACACCAAAATAAAAGTTGAAGAGCCTTTCAAACCTAAAGTGATCAGTCAATGCACTAACTGTCAGGAATATGGTCACACTAAAACCTACTGTGGCTACCACTCACGCTGCGTCCGATGTGGTGATCATCATCAGTCTTCTTCATGTCCAACCTCACGCTCAGACCCACCAAAATGTGCACTCTGCTCTGGAGATCACCCTGCCAGCTACAAGGGATGCTCAGTGTATAGGGAGCTTCAACGCGGCAGGAAACCTACCACCAAGAGTAACTTTTTAGCAGATAATATTAGAAATCAGAATACAAATGTTAAAGACAGCCACCCACTAACTAAAACTTCAATAAATCAACCCTTTAACCACGTACCCACATACGCTCAAGCCACCTCTGGTGAATCTACCAATACAGATCCTAACTCCACTTCTGAGCTCAAAAATTTCATTGGTGAGTTCAAATCACTTATTGAACCTCTTATCACTCTTCTCAATAAATTAATCACAAAATTACTCGATAAAATATAAATGTCTGCTAATAATATCACTAACATATCTACCCTTATCCTTCAATTCAATGCAAATGGCCTAAAAAATCATATTAACGTTCTTGAAACTGTATTATACAATAAACGCATAGACATTGCTCTTATAACCGAAACACATTTCACCAAATATACGCACATTAACATTCCTGGTTACAAAGTATTAAAAACAAATCACCCTGATAACACAGCGCATGGTGGAGTTGCCATAATAATTAAATCTTCCATTGTCTATCAACCTCTTCCAAATTTTTGTCAAGAATATCTTCAATCATGTGCTTTAGTTACAAAAATTAATAATGTCCCCGTTACCATAGCAGCTGTCTACTCTCCCCCTAAGCACAAAATTACTAATCAAATTTTTACAGACTACTTTAACTCAATTAACAACAATTTTATAGCTGGAGGTGACTATAATGCGAAACACCTGGCCTGGGGATGTCGTGTTAATAATCCACGTGGAATAGTCCTCCAAAATTTCATATCAACTAAAAATTACAAAATTCTTGCTCCTCCTGGCCCAACCTATTGGCCGACTTCAACACGCAAAAACCCCGATATCTTAGATATCTTTGTGACCAAGATACCTAGTAACTTAAACTGCTACACCGAAAATCTCCTTGAATTAAATTCTGACCACTCCTCAATCCTGTTAACTATAAGTGCTGCTCCTCTAATACGTCTTGAATCTCCTAAATTATTTAAGCCCTCTACCGATAAAAACAAATTTCATGATCTTGTTAACCAACAAATAAAATTAAATGTAAAACTAAAATCAACTAATGACATCGATCATGCTGTAAATAATTTTACAAAACTTATTCAATCTGCGGCATGGTCTTCTACCCCAGAAACTCTAACTTCATTTCACAACCCTCTTCTTCCAGAATATATTCGCTGTATAATAGTAGAAAAACGCAGAGCTAGAGCTATTTTTCAACGAACTCGTCTTCCTTCTCATAAGCACAAATACAATAAATTAACAAATTATCTTAAAAAAGTTCTGGCAAAACATAAATCTGAAACCTTCAATAATTTTCTTTCCAATCTCTCACCAAAAGATGGCAGTCTTTGGAGAGCGACTAAAAACATTTGTAAATTCAAAACCTCCAATTTGCCAATTAAAAATCCGGACGGAAGCTATGTCACCTCTGACGCTGATAAAGCTGAACTTTTTAAAGTACATTTATCTGATATTTTTCAACCTCACCCTGATATTTACTCTCAAACCAATACTAATATTGTGGAAGATTTTCTTAACTCCCCACCGTACTTGCCATCTAATCCTATTAAACATTTCACACCCAACGATATAAAATATGCCATAAATAAATATTCCCTTAAGAAATCTCCGGGTTTTGACCTGGTTACTGCCGAAGTAGCTAGGTGTTTACCTAATAAAGCCTTTATCCATCTTTCACATATTTTTAATTCCATTATTAGACTATCATACTTTCCCATGCTGTGGAAATTTTCTATCATCATCCTAGTACCCAAGCCTAATAAGCCACCTGACTCAATAACCTCTTTTCGACCTATAAGTTTACTCCCTTTTTTCGCTAAAGTTCTAGAGAAACTTATATTAAAACGTATCCTTCCATCTATTACTGAAAAAACCATCCTTCCTGATACACAATTCGGTTTTCGCTCTTCTCATTCTACCGTCCAACAGGTTCACAGAGTCGTCGACGCCATTTCTTATTCACTAGAGAAAAAAACTATACTGTACAAGCGCTTTTCTGAATATTGCTCAGGCCTTTGATAGGGTATGGCATGATGGCCTCCTGTATAAATTAAAAAAGTTTCTTCATCCTATTTACTTCGCTATTATTAAGTCGTATCTCTCCGATCGCCACTTTCAAGTTCGTGTCGGTGACGAATTTTTTTCCATAGGAAATATATCAGCCGGTGTCCCGCAAGGTGGTATCCTCTCCCCTACCCTATACAATATATTTGCCTCAGACCAACCAACGACACCTAATACACTAGTCGTCGATTATGCAGATGATAAGGCAATCTTTTCGATACACTCTGATCCCGTCATAGCTTCTCAAAATCTCCAATCTCACCTCAATCTCATGGAGAAGTGGTACACTGACTGGAGATTCAAAATAAGTCAAACTAAATCGGTACATGCGACGTTCACCCTTAAACTCACCCCTTGCCCTGATGTCTTTATTTATAATACTCTGATTCCCAGTGCTTCGAATGTTAAATATCTTGGCTTAACCATTGATAAAAGACTGACCTGGGCACAGCATATTAAGTCCAAAAAAATTAATCTAAACTTACGCCTTCGACTACTTAAAAACCTCATCAACAATAATAAATATACTCACATCAATACCAAATTACTAATTTACAAATCTCTACTAAAGCCTGCTTGGACATATGGCCTACAGCTTTGGGGAAACGCAAAAAAAACTAACATAAACAAAATCCAAACATTTCAAAACATCGCACTCCGCAAATTAGTAAATGCCCCTCCCTATGTCTC